ATCATCAGAAACTGGGGTAATTATTCAGGGGGAAGCATGAGAGGGCTTATGAGCAAACTATCTTTACTTAGAAAAGCTCTTCAGAATTGGAACAAGACAATTTTTGGTAACATCTTCAGCAAAACTAAAGAGCTGGAAAGTTCAGTCCAAGAAGCTGAACTCCTCTACGATGAGCATCCTTCTTCTGCTAACAGGTCCCATCTTAATCATCAAAGAGCTCTTCTTATTCAAGCTACTAATAATGAGTTTGCATATTGGAAACAAAAGCTAGCATCAAATGGATTAAAGAAGGAGATTGTAACTCCTCCTTTTTTCACTCACTGGTTAAAGAGAGAAGATTTTTCCAAAAGATCCAAAAACTTAGATCTTCTGGTGGGACATGGATTCAGAACAATGATGACTTGCTTAATGAAGCCAACACTTATTTTTAGCAACTCTACTCTAAGAAGGAAAGTGTGAACACAGAGGAGTTCCTTCAACACATCCCTAACCTCCTTACTCCTGAGGATAACATCATGCTCTCACAACTCCCTAGTGAGGAAGAGGTCAAAGAAGCCATTTGGAATCTAGACCCTCTAAGTGCTGCAGGACCTGATGGGTTTAATGGAGAATTTTACAAAAACTGTTGGGACATTATTAAGGAGGATGTGATCAGAGCTGTTCAGGAATTTTTCTTAGGAATTCCTATACCAAAGGCCCTGGGAGTAGGGGTGTTCATCGGTCCAGGACCGGACCGAAGACCGAAATCCAAAAAATAAAGGACCGAAGACCGGACCTATTCACAGTCGGTCTTGGACCGGACCGACCGAAAACTCTTAGACCGAACCGGAATAGACCGATTAGACCGAATTTTTTTTTTCCATTTGAATTTTTCAAATCTTATACAACCAAAACACTACAAAATGTAATTCCAGGATCTAATTCTGTGTTTTTCCTTGAATGATTGCTTCTTGTTTATCATACGGTTCTTGTGTTTTCAATAGGTATTTGAATGTGATTTTCTAATGATTTTGTTTGGTTTATGGATTCTGTTTAAGTTCTCAAGTCTACATTCAAATCTTCTAAAGATGAATGCAGATATAGACTATGAGTAGTCATTGTTTCAGTGGATTCTTAATTCATAAATGATTTGCTCTTCATTTGGAGTAGTGTTAAAAATACTACAGAGAACTCTCCACACTCTGGTATTTGAGAAGGAGACGAGGGAGACAAGATGAGTCTTACCTGATTCAATTGGAATTGAGGGAGTTGGCGTCTCAGGCTCTCGGCGATTGTGTATTTTAGGCGGGGGATTCGGCGCTGGGCAGTGGGCGAGACTCGAGACTGACGACTCTGCGACTCTGCGAGGCGAATCGGCGATGGCCTGAGACTTGACGACTCTTGACGACAATTAGGGTGACGGCGAGTAGACGAGGATGATGAAGAGGACCCTAATCGCTGGGCTATCCCTTGACTGAAACACTGACGACTCTTCAAGAGGAAGGCTAATCGGTGATGGCGAATCTCTCAGGCCTCACCAACACAGGAGAATCAGCGATGGCAAATTGGCGATAAGTCTTTTCCTAATTACGGATAAGGTTGGGGATTTTTGAACGAAACCCATAAATTTAGAAATGAAGTGGTTATCGGTCTATCTCGGTCTGGACCGATTGAGAATCGGGTAATGACCGGACCGGACCAAAACCCGAAACTAAAAATACTTCGGACCAAAGACCGACCCGAAACCCTGTCGGTTCGGGTTCGGTCTGGACCGATCGGTCCGGTTCGGTCGGTTTTTTCGGTCCAGACCTATACATGAACACCCCTACCTGGGAGAATGCACCATTATCCTGATTCCTAAGAAAGAAAACCCCACCAACTATGATCATTACAGGCCTATTTGTCTCTCCAATTTGATTGCTAAAGTGAACACAAAAATCCTTTCAATGAGATTAGGCAACCTACTGCCAATCTTAATCTCTAAAGAACATGGGGGTTTTGTAAAGGGCAGGCAGATTCATGATCAAATCCTCACTGCCCAGGAACTTATTCAAAATCTTAACTACAAGACAAGGGGAGGAAATATTGCCATTAAACTGGACATGTCCAAAGCTTTTGACAGAGTCTCTTGGGATTACCTTCACACTATCCTTTGGAAATTGGGT